GCCACCATACCTTCTATATTATGTCAAAATAAAAAATTCATTTAAAGTTTTACATTTATTTTCCAACTATGCTCTACATCCACTAGCTGAAATTATCCACTTCTCTTCTGGCTTTTTAAGCCGCCTGGCTTCCTACTCCAATCCTCCTCCTGTGTTCTGTCAGGACATTGTTTTGTCATTCTTGACACTGACGTAAACTGTTTAGAGAGGGACACTTTCTCATATTCCCGGCTCGAGCCTAGCCACTCCTTAAAAGGCCAGAAGATGATACTGATGTACCTGTCACCATTTGGGATCGCATCTCTGGTCCTGAAGTCATCCCAGGGGAACGTAACAATGACTCCAATGGCCTATTAACTCAATCCTAAAACGCTGATTCAATTTACGTTCTAAATTTCAACTAATTCTTCAGAATGAGACTCAGACAGCTGGAAGACAACAGTTGGTCTGCTGCTAAATAGATATAATGGAGGGATTTCATGCTTCACATGCAGCAGCGGAATGAAACAGAAGCAGTGCTGAGTTATGGGGCTATTTGGAGGACAGGAAAAATCCCACCAGAACAATGGCGATGATGTTGTTGTTCTACAGGTTTGAACAGTTGATGTTTTTTATTGGGCTGTTGGGAGCCAGAAATAATTTTCATTAATAAAAATAATATTTTTGATTTCTTTCATCTTTGGCTCTTCAATCCTGGATAAGCCCCCAAATTATTATTTATCTCGCTTACTGTCTAGGAGATTAAAGGATGCACATAACACTGTGAAAACATTTTTAAACTGGTATATAATAGTTGTGTTAATAAATTATATAAGAATGTATTATAAAAGTCTAAAGGAGAAAATTGGTCCCATTTATGAAGTAAAAAGAATAAGAAGATTGAATTCAATAGCACTATTCAAAGAAGACAAAGCAAATACCTGGCAATAAAAAAAGAGTAACGACTCAACTGATCTATCTTCCTCTGAACAATCACTGCTGCCTAAACCTATAACAAACAGAGGATACTTTCTTTTCCCTTTCATTTCCATTCTTTTCCAATTCATACCAACCAGATGGGCATTTCATATGTAAAGTTATCACCAGCAGCTTAAGTCCTTTTCTATATTCTGGTGATATTCTTCTGTAAGAAACATAGGTCATTTTTTTATGAATGCAAGACGTGATAAAACATACATCATAAGCAAAATAAATGGGAATCAGGTGTAAAACCTATTTCAAGTAAATACGGCTGAAACAATTAATCAGACTAATCAATTATTGAAATACCTGTCAACTAATTTAGTCATCAATTAATCGTTAAATGGAGGCTAGAGACTATAAAACTTGTCTTAAAATTACAGAAAGACCCACTTAGAGCAGTAATTATACAAAAGTTCTAAAAAAAAAAAAATTATAGACATTTTAGTTTTCCTCTGTCAATATACTCTGTGCTCCAAGTTTAAGGTTAACCTGATTTAATTTAATAAAAACTCGTCTTTAAAGAACCTTTGGTTATCAGATTATTAATCAATTAATTGAAAAAATAGTTGACAGATTAATCTATTAGTAAAATAATCATTAGTTGCATCCCTAAAACTAATTATCATCCTGTAACTTTAATCATATTAGAGATTTTAACACATATGACTTTATTTTTATACAAAACCTGAAAACACTATAATGACAAGTTGACTAATATTCGAAAGCCTCATTGAATGAGAATAGAACAGCTTGTCTACAGATATAAAATGGAAGTATCACTGGAGAAAATGACAAAGAAGAAGCTTGACGTAAGGCATCAACAGGAATCAAAATGCCAGAGCAGAGTTTATTTACCACCGGAAAGAAAAGATTAACCTTCCTCACTAAGAGAAAAATTCTTCACGCTGCCAAATGACTAACTGGCACAAACTCAGCTTCTTTATAGGCTCCATGAACCTCAGCATGCAACATATAGTCCAACTTCATTATGTCAAAGAACCTCATTGTTGCATGACCCAACAACACGCTTAGACTTTAATACCATCACTGCTCCAAACAAACAATAGTTCACAACATTTCTGCTCTTTATTGAGGCTTTTTCCATTTTCCTTAATTTTCTGTTGCTGTTATTTTATACACAATGATAAACTTGGATTTGGTACATTTCCCAATCAATCCTACTCAGTTACACAGACTTCAATTGGGCAGTTTGAAAACTATATCGTGTGTTTCTTTCTTTTCTTTTGTAAACTTCAGTTTTATATCATTTTTGGTAATGGCACCATATCTTATACAGGTGCTGGTCATAAAATTAGAATATCATGAAAAAGTAGATTGATTTCAGTAATTCCATTTAAAAAGTGAAACTTGTATATTATATTCATACATTACATACAAACTCATATATTTCAGATGTTTATTTTGTTTAATTTTGATGATTACAAATGAAAATCTCAAATTCATCATATCAGAAAATTAGAATATTGTGAAAAGGTTCAAAATTGATGGCCCCTGGTGCCACACTCTAATCAGCTAATTAACTCAAACCACCTGCAAAAGCCTTTAAATGGTCTTTCAGTCTAGTTCTATAGGCTACACAATCATGGGGAAGACTGCTGACTTGACAGTTGTCCAAAAGACGACCATCGACACCTTGCACAAGGAGGGCAAGACACAAAAGGTCATCGCTAAAGAGGCTGGCTGTTCACAGAGCTCAGTGTCCAAGCACATTAATAGAGAGGCGAAGGGAAGGAAAAGATGTGGTCGAAAAAAGTGTACAAGCAAGAGAGATAACCGCACCCTGGAGAGGATTGTGAAACAAAACCCATTCAAAAATGTGGGGGAGATTCACAAAGAGTGGACTGCAGCTGGAGTGAGTGCTTCAAGAACCACCACACACAGACGTATGAAAGACATGGGTTTCTGCTGTCGCATTCCTTGTGTCAAGCCACTCTTGAACCACAGACAGCGTCAGAAGCGTCTTGCCTGGGCTAAAGAGAAACAGGACTGGACTGCTGGTGAGTGGTCCAAAGTCATGTTCTCTGATGAAAGTAAATTTTGCATTTCCTTTGGAAATCAAGGTCCCAGAGTCTGGAGGAAAAGAAGAGAGGCACTTCATCCACGTTGCTTGAAGTCCAGTGTAAAGTTTCCACAGTCAGTGATGGTTTGGGGTGCCATGTCATCTGCTGGTGTTGGTCCATTGTGTTTTCTGAGGTCCAGGGTCAACGCAGCCACATACCAGGAAGTTTTAGAGCACTTCATGCTTCCTGCAGCTGACCAACTTTTTGGAGATGCAGATTTCATTTTCCAACAGGACTTGGCACCTGCACACAGTGCCAAAGCTACCAGTACCTGGTTGAAGGACCATGGTATCCCTGTTCTTAATTGGCCAGCAAACTCTCCTGACCTTAACCCCATAGAAAATCTATGGGGTATTGTGAAGAAGAAGATGCAATACACCAGACCCAACAATTCAGAAGAGCTAAAAGCCACTATTAGAGCAACCTGGGCTATCATAACACCTGAGCAGTGCCACAGACTGATCGACTCCATGCCACGCCGCATTGCTGCAGTAATACAGGCCAAAGGAGGCCCAACTAAATACTGAGTGCTGTACATGCTCATACTTTTCATGTTCATACTTTTCAGTTGGCCAACATTTCTATAAATCCTTTGTTTTTATTGGTCTTCAGTAATATTCTAATTTTCTGATATGATGAATTTGAGATTTTCATTTGTTGTCATTTGTAATCATCAAAATTAAACAAAATAAACATCTGAAATATATGAGTTTGTATGTAATGTATGAATATAATATACAAGTTTCACTTTTTAAATGGAATTACTGAAATCAATCTACTTTTTCATGATATTCTAATTTTATGACCAGCACCTGTATGCTTTCCCTTTTCTTTTTGCTAAAAACAACCAAATACCTGGACTGTTGGATAATATAAAGACTATTCTATTCTACCCTAGTTTATTTCATTCTGCCTTTAGATTTACTGTTATTATTACAAATTAAATATATATAAAAACACAAAAACCTTAACTCAGAGTCTATGTGCATTTTTCATATGATAAAAACTAGAAGGACATTTGGTTTTCCTCTCCATGCTTGTGAAACACTAAAAAAACAGATAAAGGATGAGGGGAAAAACACAAACAACAGCAGAGATTTCCCCACCAGATGTTCAACATCTCCTCCTCATCCTGGTTATGCATCCAAACTAAAAACCATGTGACTCTTAAGACTCTTTTTTCTTAGAACTTCAAATAAAGGATAAACCAATCCAATGAGAAATGGGATGCTCTTTTCCAAAATATAAAATCAGTTCTACTTTTTATACATCAATAAATGTGACTGATCATGCAATTCATAAAGTTACTACAGGATTTCTCTTTATCCTTGTTAAAGAATAAAAAAGTGAATAAATAACCAAATGCACCCAAATGAAATATCATATTGGTTTCAATTCTCAGCTATACCACTTCAGTTTATGAGAGAAAAGGTAAACTTTACTTAAAGCCACAGAACAGACAGAAATCTTTTGAAGTTCACCTGAAGAGGTCTGAGGACAAGCCCAGAGATTTGGAGAGTTTTAGCCAAGCAGAGTTGGATTTATAGAATTAAAAACCTGCTTTTTTGCAGCTTTCTTTACCCTTCTTACAGATTTGTTTGTATTCTAGTTATATTGTAGACGACCAAATCCATCTTTGTGTCATCTGCATAAAAAAGAGCAGGAGTGCATCAGTCAGTCTGACATATGCAAACACCATTCATCACCATAATCTGCAAGAATAAAATATCTGGGAAGCCCACCCTTTTACTTTACATTGCAATATCTCATTTTTTCTTTCATGCAAAGAATTTAATATGTCATAACAAAAACCATATGAGTGCAAACCCCATTGTCTGCAGGGTTTGGCTCCCATAAGCTCCATTAATATTCGGTGCTGCCATAGAGGAGGGGGAATGGGGGGGCATCTGATCCCACTGTGATGCACCAGTGAACCCATTCAAATCATCAGCATACCTTACTCTTAACCTCAGCAGAAAGTCCAAAGGCCGGGCCGCTCCTGAAATATGTTGTCATCCTGCAGAGAGCGTTTGTGATGGCAGCGTTAGAAAGAAATGGAGAAACCAGGTTGCGGTGCTCTGTCCGAGGCAGGGACACGCAGCGCGGAAGTCCTCAGGAAACCCGGAGCTAGTCTCTCCTTCTTCGGATAAACCTGTTTAATTAGCCGCGGTTCCGCTCGGGGCAGCTGTGAAAAACCTTCCTGACAACTTTCCAAACTCTTTTCGGAATCTTTTAAACTCTTCCCATGTGTGTGCTCTCTGATTGGCTGGAGCCGCCGACCAATCAGGACGCAGCCTCGCCGTCTAGTGGGAGTGATGTCATCGCTCGGATATTGGGCTTTTTTAATGGGTGTCATTTTTTCCACCTTCAGTCCAGAGAAGGATGAGTTCTGCTGCTGTTTGGACGGAATTTCTGTTATCACTCAAAGGACCTAAACTCTTTCTGTAAAGTTTTTGTTTTGTAGAAACATTAAATGTCACATTTGATCAAATGGAGACATGGAAACCACATTTTGATGATTTTATTTATTGAAGGAAAAAGTTGTTCAAACCACTGTGGCCCAATGTAAAAAAGTTATTTCCCACACTTTGCCACTTTTTGTACAGTAAATGTCGTTAAATGTTTGCTATAACTGGCGATGAGGAAAAACTTTGGCCCAGTCTTCTTTGTAGAGTTAAACTGCACTGAAACATGTATAAAAAGGCTGCAGCGTCTGTGTTGGATGTTTCAGACATGGAAAAATCAGCTATCAGAATCTTATTTATATTTTCTCTTTTTTTAAATGCCAGCTGTTGGAGCAGCTGGTGCACCTCTGAGGGTTTTCCTGGTGGAAAACCCAAACGTGTTTAAGATTAGATCAGAATTATAATCCCATCCATTAAAACAGGTTGTCCTATAGAGAATACCCTTTCAATAAAATTCAATTCAATTTATCTTTATTGTCATTGTCACAAGAACAACGAAATTAAAAAAAGTGCCATCGATCGATCAGTGCATATGCTTAAAACAAAAACAAAAATCACTGTCACCACCATTTACACATTATATAAGAAATAAATAACAATAACTGAAAAAAACAACTAATAAGAATAGTACATTTTCACACACACCCTCCATGATGATTACTGGTTATTTTTGGTTGCATTTAGTTTTGTTATTGCTGTTGGGTAAAAACTGTCTCTAAGGCGGTTGGTTCTTGGTTTGATTGCTCTGTATCGTCTGCCTGAAGGCAACAGTGTGAACAGAGAATGTCTGGGATGAGAAGTGTCCTTTGTGATGTGTTGTGCCTTTTTTAGACAGCGGTCGCTGTGCAAGTCCTCCAGTGAGGGGAGAGGGCAGCCAATGATTTTTTGGACTGTCTTCACAACCCTTTGGAGAGCTTTCCTTTGAGCTACAGTGCTGCTGTTATACCTTCACACCACACCACCACCACCGTGTAATACACCACATTCAGCAGGGTGAACAACTACTAAAGAGCTCAAATTTGTTTTCAGTCTACAGAATATTTTACCAAAATGTTCCTGGAAATTATCAGGATGTTTATTTTTATTATTTTTTTTTTAACTCCAAGTATTTGAAACTCAATTTTTTCCCCAAAATATTTTGGAACCTAAATACTTAAATTAAATGAGGTATACAAAGCCTTAAATGCTTTACATATTTTTTCTACTATATTTTTCTATCATTTATTGCAGCAGCGGGCAATTCCAGTTAATTCCTGGGGGCTGCTATCCTGCAACTTTTAGATCCATCTTTGGTCCAACACACCTGAATCAAATGGCTGAGATGCCTCCTCTGTATGCAGTCAGTTCCTACAGAGTCCTCTCAATCATCTAACTACTTGATTGAGGTGTGTTAAACCAAAGGCACGTCTAAAAGTGGCAGGATACCGGTCCTCAGGAATTGAGATTGCAAACCCCTGCTTTAATGCATACTCATTCTTTATAAGGCATTTATCAACTTGTACAATACCTAAAATGCTATTCTTGATGTCAACTAATGACATCCTGAGGGATGACTTGGATGGGGAATTTTGAGAGTGAACAACTCTAGACATTTCATGAGATTTAAATGCCCCCAAAATCAATTCTGCCTGTTAAAAAAAAAAAAAACATGTTCAAAAAGGAAAATAAACAGTTAATTGAAACTACAAGATCTGAGTGACAGCTGTAGTCAGTCTGGTGTCCTAATAAATTAGATGAAATTAAATTCAAGCAGATTACTATGTTTTAAAGCAATGCATGTTTTAGCATGTTGATAGTTTTTATCAGCTATGCATCTTCCAGTGCAGTTCTGCGCATTCAATTCAATTCAGTTTATTTATATAGCGCCAATTCACATCACATGTCATCTCAAGGCACTTTACAGTTCAACCAGATCATACAGTGAAATGGATTCATAGTTTTCGATCTAAGGAAAACCAGTTGATTGCATCGACTCATTGACTCGTAGGCAATCCCTCACACTAAGCATGCTTGTAGCGACAGTAGAGAGGAAAAACTCCCTTCTAACAGGAAGAAACCTCCAGCAGAACCAGGCTCAGTGTGAGCGGCCATCTGCTGAGGCTGCCTGGGGTTCAAGGAGACAGAGATGCAAAAAGCAGCTTTAAAAGGCGGCCCCGTCCTGGAGACACACAGCCAGGCAGACTAGCTCCGAGCCAGCTCCCATGTCACAGAGAAACAGGACAACACTGAAAAACAGGCTGATAGTGAACATCTATAACAAAGGTGTTAATGGCAGCACAGCTGATATTTCTCTCCAGGGTGGTGTCACAGCCAAACAGGAACAGACGACGCAAAGATACTATGAGAAAAAGCACAGAGAGCATAACGTTAGATATTGATCTAACAGATTTTGCAGAATAGGAGAATAGAGATAGAATGAAGCAGAATAATGAAATAGCGGTTCCTATGTCCTCCAGAAGTCGAAGCCTATAGCAGCATAACTATAGAGATAGCTCATATACTTAGAGTGGCTCACATGAGCCACTCTAACTATAAGCTTTATCAAAAAGGAAAGTTTTAAGCCTAGCCTTAAAAGTAGACAGGGTGTCTGCCTCACGGACTAAAACTGGTAGTTGGTTCCACAGGAGAGGAGCCTGATAACTAAAAGATCTGCCTCCCATTCTACTTTTAGAAATTCTAGGAACCACTAGTAAACCTGCAGATTGGGAGCGAAGTGCTCTGTTAGGAACATAAGGAACAATCAGATCTCTGATATAAGATGGAGCTTGGCCATTTAAGGCTTTATATGTGAGAAGGAGGATTTTAAATTCTATTCTGGATTTAACAGGAAGCCAATGAAGAGAAGCCAGGATAGGAGAGATATGATCTCTCTTTTTCATTTTCATCAGAACTCTGGCTGCAGCATTTTGGATCAGCTGAAGGCTTTTAACTACAGTTTGTGGACTTCCTGATAGTAAAGAATTACAATAGTCCAGCCTTGAAGTAACAAATGCATGGACTGGTTTCTCAGCATCACCCCTGGATAGGATTGTTCTAATTGTGGAAACAGAAACTTGATCATAAGTTGCATTTTGAGTATCTGTGTGCTTTTTGCATGGTTTTTAAACTGTGCTCAGTGGAAATAAGAATGAGGTAAATACATTATTAGAGGAGTCTGAGATGAAGATCTGGATAATTAAGTGCATGTCAGTCTCACAGTAAGTCAGCTACAAGTGTGTTCTTAATGCTAAAGAGGGCAAGACCCCTTGTAAAGGCGCCTTCTTGTATGAGCCTTTGATGCCCTCTTGGAGTAATTTTGGTTAGCCAGCCACTCCTGAGAAAGTTAACCACCATTCTGTTTTTTTATTTGCGAATAACAGCTCTAACTGTGGTTAGTCCCATAACCTTAGAAACCACTTTTTAACCCTTTCCAGATTGAGAGTAGGCAGATATTCGCTTTCTCATCTGTTCTCAAGTTCCCTTAGCTGATGAAAGGCATGGACAAGACATCTGGCGTTCTGGGAATAATCGGTTGGCCTACGCACGTTTCTGGCCTGGTCTGGGAATTGAGAATCTAATCCCAAAAACATTTATAAACAAATAACTTTCATTAGTTTGCCACCAGTAGAGAGAAAATGCTGCTCATTGGTTTAATTACTTGAAATCACTCTTGCGTCTTACTCTGCTTAATAGCGAACATTAAAAAGGATTATTTGATCGATCCATTTTTGATGACTGCAAAAATCACAGGGGGCTGAAGCACAAGAACAAGCAAACAAAGCCAAATGAATCCAAATTACCAATACATTTAGCACCACAAATGGAGCAGTGGGAGCAGAACCGCCAAATGTAGAAGTTGTTACATAGAATGCACAAACTGTCAGGGTGGAACAGAGGAGACAGAAGTAGCATTTTATTTGAGGAAGAAGGAAAGATTCATGATTGAGCAGAGTAAGATGGAGGAGGATGTCAGAGTAGGTACAAACACAAACGCTAAGAAATGTTTGCAGCAGCAGAACAAGCAGAATGAATTAAGATTAGAAAACGACTCATTGGTCCCATAAGGAGAATTCTCCTCATTAGAGCAGCATCGGTAAGAGACAGGGATTAAATACCCTACTGCAGACATTCATAAAAATGTTTCATAAATCTTCTGTCAGAGGCTACTTTAGAACTGCTGTAAGATCACAGCAATCCACATCTCTATAATAATCCTGCTTTAAAAGAAAAGGGTCATATGTGGACACACATACAGTATACAGTATATATTGTATATCCCATGCACCTTTTTCTTCCTTTGGGACCTTCTTCTTTTTTTTACTATTTCAGATGATGTAACAAGTACATTTCTCAACTGTGAGATCAATGAAGACAACCTATCCATCAATCTGTAACAAGTCTTTGAAGAAAAATGCAGCAATATGAGTTACAGCAATTCATTTCCCAGTTGGGTTTAATAAAGTAGTTTTGAACTGAATTCAATTGAATCAACAAGGGGTGGATCATCTTTTCACATCCCAGCGGTTGGAATTGTTTTTTTACCTTTAATTTTTGAAATTTGAATTTTATTAAACCTGGTTATCTTTGGAAGATACCACAATTACTTTGCAAGTGTAACAAAACAAAACAAAATAGATAAATAAATCCATTTTCAAATCACTGTAGACTGCTGATGACATGAGGCAGAAAATTAGACAAAAAATCAGTAATTCAGGTTTTCATTTGCTCAGAATGACCTTTATAATCTATTGTTAATAATGAAATATTATGTTTTAACATAGGAAAGTTAGACAATGTTTACA